TGAATGCTTTCCGGGTTCCTCAACAGCAGGGTTGGAAATAACAGTATAATCGTTATGTTCTCAGAGATTTTCTAAGATTGGCTGGAAGTTCCATGGCCACCTAGGGAGCAGAAACTCTTCAGGTTTCAAGTCAAGAAATGGGCATGGACACAGCATCAAAGGCCAAGATGCCTGATGTGGCCATGTATCACAGAGGGTACAGCTGTAACAATTGCTCCATACAGGTAGTCATGGTGATGCCTTCTGGAAAGTGGGGCTCTAATGTCAGGTGGATCACTGGAAAGTTCTGAACCCCATTTCTTCCACCCCATAGCAAGGGAACAATGTCTACCCTGTTATGTTCTATTGAGCATGAATCTGCCTCTGCCTTCCCATCCTGTTCTTCTTGAAAGCAAGTTGTTTGGCTTTCTCTGCCCCACTTCAATCCCTTTGCAAGCTTAAGGCCAGAGAGTTTGGACACTGGGAAAGTCTAGGAGTAACACATCCAGGGAGAAAGCCAAGGCCATGTGTCCAGGAGCAGCCACTGGAGCTGCAGGGTTACTGGGATTTAAAGTTCCCCAATAAAAAAGAATGGGCAGAAATTCAGGACCCTTCCTTCATCTAATGAACATAACTTTATTCAACCTTCCCATCCACACCCAAAGGAGATGATGAAGCCATGGCAAAGATGGAGTGTGAAAATATCACCACCCTGGCAGAATGCGGGCTTGTTTTTTCAATCGGTTTTTCCCTGTCAACTACAAGTCATTTCTGTCATAATCTAACACGTATACCCATCATACTCACACCTAGGATGAGTGTGATTTTTGAGCACCAATAACATAGTTGGGTTTCCCAAAGACTGTTGGGACAAATTCCAAATGACATAACAAATGTCTGACCCTCATAAAGATGAGAAGACTTTTGTTTTCTTGCAGATGACAGCAAAGTGTTAATTCTTATTGATGGTGACAAACCTTCTGTCAGCATCAGCTGCCTTTCATTTTTCTGTTACCCCTAAAAGCCATTTGCAGTTATATATTCTACTGGGTATGACTCTCTTTACATAATTAACAACATTCTGCAGAGGGTAATGGATGAGGGAAAACTCTACAAGGAGGAGGTGGTCTTAATTAATCTACAAGAAGACATGTTCTTCTGCACCAAGTGAGAACAAAGTGATGGGGGATTTACACGGGGCCTTTGCAGAATGATTTACTAGCAAATTTGGGTGTATAATATTATAATCTGCTGCATACCATGTGATTACAAGATTAAGAAGAAGTGGATTGCTAATCTTGTCAGTCCAACTGTTTTCTTCCTTGATAACATTTGTGTTATTACACTCTGGGTGATGAAAGGGTGTAATTGGCTGTTGACACTGATTGAAGGAAGGAGACGTGCCTTCTATTTTTTAAAAAAGAGAATTAATTATCTTGGTAAGGGAGGTAACAATTCCAACAACAGCTCTCACAGCTGCAAAACAGACGTGAACTGTCAGGGTGTTTTCATCTCTTTCTTTCCCACCTGTTTTTCTCCTTTTGATAACATCTTTTCCTAGATTTAACACATTTACCAAGGGGGGGCGGGTGGTGGACGTGGGAGTCTGGGGAGCCTTCAAAAGAGAAAGGAAAAAATTAGCTTTTGAAATTTGCAGCAAAAACTCTGCAAATGTACGAGTGTGGCATTTGCATGTGTTAATGTCTAAGGAAGACATCACAGGCAGATGGAGGCAGGCAAAATCTCCTTACGCCATTCAAGTTGTATTAAACCAGTAATGGACATCTGAAACTCACCATATGGCAGCTAAAGAAAAGGGATCCAGGTAAGTTGTAAGTTCTGGTTGCCTGAATCCTTCTCAATGTAAGCCAAGTGTGAAGTCAATGAAAATCTACATCCTACAAGATATGATGTATGTTTGGACTGCAGCTGACAGACTGGATCTTTACACCACAGGTAGAAAACAAGGTGGAAGCCAAGGCAACTCGGTTACTCTCACTAAGGCACACAGAACACTTTGATTCTTGTGTCTACAGCTTGAGAAGTTTTCATTCCCAGAGAAACAACAGCCATGGGGTGAGCCAAAGAATGGAACAAAGGTTCATTTGAGGAGGGAACCGAGACTCTCTTCAGTTGCATTTGCTTTCATATGCCACTGAAGCAACAAAGAGGGGTTAGGGTAGTTGCTGGGGAAATTGCGGCAGCAGTCAAGGGAAAGCAGGCATGCTGTTGTATCATGAGGATAGGAGTATTCGAAACCAGAGGTATTCTTCAGGGAAATTCATAGTACTTCCATGTCTAGAACCAAAAGCTAATTATGACTCCTCTTACAAGCAGGAGCAAGTTCAGACTCTTCAAGAGTGAAAGGCTGGGTCAACTCACAAGATCAAGACCCTTGACAGCTGAGGAGCTGGCTGGCAATAAAGACATAAAATGAGTGGAGTAAGAGCATCATCGGCACTCACATGGCCTCAAAAAAAGTGAGTACTTACCGCTACATGTTTGCTTCTTCGCACTTTAATAATTATTAGTACATAAGCTTAGCAAACTGATTTTATTTTTACAAACCAATCTTAACAGAAGTGTGGTTAGCTTTTAATTTGGCTGCTTTAGGTTAGAAGATAAACTAAAAATGAATATGGTGAGTCGGAGACTCTGCATGAGGAACAGCCAGGAGAAAAAGTGGGCTGGGCCCTTCCCCATTAATCATTAATTGAGAAAATGCCTTCCAGCTAGATCTCAGAGGCATTTCCTCAACTGAAGCTCCTTCCTCTCTAAGTTGTGTCAAGTTGACACAAAACTAGCCAGTACACTATCTTTGTAAAGAATAAACTATTGGGTTAAGGGACTAAACGGGGGCTCCTGTCCCATGCAGCTCAGCATAACCCTGACACACTTTCTAAAAAAGGGATGGGTTTCCATTTCCACACAGAAGGCAAATGCTTTCTAGAGCTAGGCTGAGCAATACTCCAGCACTAATTCTCTTTTATATGGAGGGTATGGAGCAACCTAGTGGATAATGGATTATGCATTAAACTTCATCAGTGCAAAGATTCTGAATCATAGAAACTGAAAACTCTTGTAATGATCCTTGTAGAATGGCTAAAGATTTGTTATCAAAGTGTAATTCAGGGATGGCACTTAGCCAGGTAGATGAGATAACCTAATTAAAATGCTTTCTGGAACAGAACTGGGAGAAATGAAAAGAACAGTTAACACATATATTAAACATTCTGCAAACTATAGAGACTTAAGCAAATCATTGTAAAATGCTGTGATTTAATTATGTTCTGCTACACATCTGATAGCACGGGCTAATGTGACGTGACTGGGTGTGCTTCTGGTGTGAAGTCCGAGGAACCAGTTCTGTCTTGTAAGCAGGTTTCTGAGGTTTTCCTTTCTTGTGTGGACTGGGGAACAGGGTACCGGCTCTGAGAGAACACTGTAAATTGCAGCAAAACTAACAGGCTGAAAACACGGCCATGGCTGGCTGGTGGGTTCAGCACATGCAGAGCTCTATGAGGACTAATCCCCGGCTTCAGAGCTAGGATAGTACAGTCTTAGAGCACAGGCACCGGGGTCTAACAGTTCAAAACCTAGTTCCAACACAGCAGCTTAGGCAAGCTAGGTAGTTCTTCTGTACCTCAGTTTCCTGGCTTGTAAAACAAAACTAATTTTCCTTACACTGTTGAATTATATAATTATATACGTCAAATGTTAGAGACTCTGGGAAACCCACATGGCTGTGCGCTCATGGCAATCTCCTTCACTCTAGTGATTGTCCTCACAAGCTTACTTGCATTCAGGATGTATTTGTGCTGCGGTCATGTGTGGTAACAGTGCCATATATTAGACCTTTCAAGTGCCGATTAAGAAACAATTAGACATTAAATAACCTCAATGTAATGATGAGATGACTACATTAATTTGCAGAAAAAGAATATCACTAAAAGCTTTGGCTGTTGACAAACCCTTTATACCCATGTGTTTTTCCTGGTAAAGAAATTTTTCTACATGAACAGAAAACTCTGTGATATGCACTAGTTTTTGACAGTGCTTGAATGTTTCACGTGAGAAGTGCAACAAAGGAAATGAATCCTTGTGACATCACCTAAGTGCTGGTTGCTCTTACCAGTGAGTGACATCTGGGGCAGCGATCTGCTGTGCTGTGCACATCTGTGCTTCGCTGCTGGTAACAGAACCACAGGGCACTGGGTAGAAAAGCACTCAGCTCATGAAAACACACAGGTTGCCGAAGAGCTGCACCCAACCATAATTTACTGTCTCGAGAGGTCTCTTCTCGGGAGTTAGTTCCGAACATTCCGGAGTTCAACACGCCTTATGCCTGTGTGGCTTCAGCACGCAGCGACTTCAAGAGGCCATTTCCACTCAAAGCTGCAGGCTCCAGACTACATACAACACCCAAACTGCCACAGCTGTTAAAGGGAGGGTGCAAGTCTGTTTCCTGTGCTGTCTTGCATTTGTTTTTGTTTGCACATGCACGTTACTGCAGAGCATACTACCTACAGACCTGATGACAAACTGCTTGGAGCATGTGGGACGTGTATGTTAAGATTTATGTGAAATAATGTAGTCTGTAGAGAAAGAGGGCTGATCACACTGAGCGTTACAAAAATCAATCTATTGGAGAGATCCACTGCACATTGCCACAGTCTTCTAGGACTTCAAAGGTAGAGAAATCTGCTTTAAATGTGTGAAGCAGAAGCAGGCAGTAGCCTGGGAAGGGGCCTCTTACTGATCCAGCTGCGAGGCATCAGGAAGACAGGCTGCGGACAATGGCCCACACGAAGCACCCACCACCATACACAAGGTAAAAACAAGGCAGCTCTTGAAACCACACAGGAGCCCCTGAAGGCACTGGTGATTGGGTGCACCTGCAGGGATTCATGACATTTATTAAGAAACAACAATTGCAAATTAAAGATAAAAACCAGATGTCTGATGGGTTTTTTCAGAGGTGAAAAATGGCTCTTTATATGAAATGACAGTAAAAAAACACATTCAGTTTGGCAAAACATTTTATTCAAAGAACCTCCCTTTCCTCCTTAACTGCTCAAATACCTCATAAGGCTGGAAGTGATGTCTGGTATTTACACAGCTCAAAGTCTGAATACTCACTAATGTCTTCAGGCTGTTGCACACACACATGGCTGCTAAGAGCTCCCTCTTTCTCTGATCTTTGTTCTTAAAATGCAATACTCAATGAAGCGCTCAAGAGTCTAAATGAATAAAATCCTCACCACCATAATTTGTAACTTTTCAAATCCTTTTTGGGAAGCTGAGGCCATTCTCTGGAAAGATGGCAAACAGCACGGAAACGCTCACTGAAGCACAAAGGCTTTCTCGTGTTGCTGGAGAAGAACCACCGCCTCCCACTTTGCTTGAGGAGTCTACCTTCTACTAGAAAAGATGTAAAATAACTCAATCTGTCGAAGGTATCATTACAGTTTCCCCTGAAAACACAGGCCTTATTTGTTTGAGTGCAGACCAGGCCTTTCCTATCTCTGGCTCTTTTGCTGCTTGCTCCTTGGTGGTGATTTCTGCAGGGAAAGCCTGGGAGAGATGTCTGTGATGCTTGGAGTAGACAGATAGATATACGCGGCTCTCTAGGCAGCAGTTGGTAATGACTGCAGAGGTTGTGACACGGGAGTGCAGCAGGCCACCAGGAAGCCACTTCAAAAACCTTTAGGGCTCTCTAATGACCTGTTGAGTTTCTTCCTGAACATCAATTATACATAGTAATAGGAACACACAAGTCTCCCCCTCTTCCCTCCCACCAGGCTCAAGACAGCAAAAAGCTAGGTAGCATTCTACATACGTCTCCCCAGTCCTTTTCTTGTTTGGAGACACTGGGATGTTCCCTTCCTTGGCTTTCTTGCCAACCAGCTAATGAGAACAGGGAATAACTGTAAGGAAGCATTATGAAGAGGACGGAAGAGGCCTTGGCAAGCATTCGTTCTCTCATATAACATGTCAGACACGATGCCAGGAGCTGGCAGTTCAGAAATGCATTATGCATGCTCCCCAGCCCCTTCCATCCCTGGAATGTCTACAGTGAGGAAATTTCTAGAAAAAGAGAATACTCTATAAAGTTGAGAGGGTCACTCTCTCACCCCAGCTCTGATAATAGCAAACATATTTCAAGATGCAAATACTACACTTAAATATTATTCACAGTTATTTCCAAACCTATACCAATCAACAGTAATAATGAGCACATTTCATCTATTGGCAGTTCTCTCAATGTTAGCATGAACTGCCACAGACAAGATTCAGTCAACAGCTTTCAGGAGAAAGCCGCTGAGACCAAAATGCTTTGTTTATCAAACAGGAGTTCCTCCTAATTCTATCTACTTCTGGCCAAAGAGAGGATCTTGGTTTCAGATCTTTAAAATGAGGTTTTCCTCCAAGTATACTGTCTATCTGTTCAGGTTCTCTCACACTGGCCTACCATGTCCACCACCCACAACTAATTCATTGCTTTAGAATTATTCCTGACTCCGTACTTCCCCTTCCTTAGCTCTAGGCTAAAAAGAACCAAACAAAAAAAGGACAGGTAGCAAGGATTCTCTGCGCCTAGGCTGAGCTGGAAAAGAATATGCAGACAGTTCAGACAAAGCTTCCATGTTCATATTCCCTGCAAACACTCTGCCAAATGCTCCCCTATACTCTGTACTCTCATGAGCAATGCTTTCAGAAACAATAAACAAAGCACACTAGACAGCTATAAATACACTATAAAATGCCTAAAAATACCAAGAGGCCCCAAAGAACAGAGGCATGAGCAGAGACAATAGGTATTGCTCAGCAGAAAACAGCACAAGGAATGTAGGGGCAGCAGGGAGATGAGGTAGAGTTAAGAGCGAAGATGCAAAAACCAAAACCTGACTCCAGGAGGGAGGTGAAGAAGGGGCACAGGAAATGACCACAGGTTGAGAACCCTCAGAGCTGCCACGTGTTCCTTTCAGAACAGAACGGGGGCTACAGGCAGCACCAAGCACGCTGGCAGAGTCCTGGGCTTTGCTTAACTGGGCAGGAAGAAGGGAAAAGGAAATACACAACACCAAACTCCACCAGCTACTGAACTATAAATCTTTCTAGTGTGTTATCGGTTGTCTTAGTAGGGCGAAAAGAAAAGAATCCACAATATATATGGGGCCCTAGGTTTGATCCTCAGCATTGCAAGAAAAAAATTGCAAAACTTGAAAATACATTTCTAAAAAAAGCAATATAGAATTTACTACCATGCTAGTAAAAAGATATGCACATATGAAATATAAGCCAAGCATCTGCCATCCGCTCCTGTCACCTCACCTAATATACCAGTCACACTGCTACATGGTCTCACAGGTACACATTTCCTGGCTAGTGTCCTTTGCCATTTGGTTCTTACTGTAGAGCATTATATGTCTTAAGCTCTATTTTGAGACAAAGGATATGCTTTGTCTCTGCAGCTGAAAGCACAATGATGTTTAGGAGATATTTCTCTACATTCAGTGAGCCTGTCCCTCAATAAATGGCTTATCTGCCCATTTATTCATTCATTCTTTTATGGTTTTTCAAGACAGGGTTTCTCTGTATAGCCTTGGCTGTCCTGGACTTGCTTTGCAGACTACCAGAGTGGCCTCGAACTCACAGAGATCTGCCTAACCCTGCCTCTCTGAGTGCTGGGATTACTGGGATTACAGGCATGCACCACACCTGGCTATTATTTGCCCCTTTAAAACCTTTACTAGCCATCTTAAAAAAAAAAAAAAAAAAAAAGGAGCAACATGGAATGATCTTTTTTTATAAAGAATGATTTTATGGATGTATCTGGAGATGATCCTATTAGATGAATTAAGATAGTGTAGGGAAGGCAAGTTCCATATGTGCTCTCTCATTTGTAGAGACATAAATCACAGGTGTATATGTAATCTGAAGGTATAAGCAAAACTGTCCAGAGGAGCAACAGGACCTAACAGCTGGACTGCAAGGGAAGGAGAGTGGGAACAGGGGAATGTATTCAATTGTGTGAAAATTTCCAACCATGTGCAATGAAGAGATACAATAAAAACTTTAGCAACTTTACAAAACTGTCACTCGTGTCTGCTGGATGCATTTCTTACCTCTAGAGCATGGGGGAAGCAGGCTGGGTGCTTGCGTGCTTGAGCGAGCAGTGTTCATGGAGCACTTAATACTCTCTGTTCCTGCAGATGCACGTTTTCTTGTGTGATTGCTGTTATCTGTTCCCACATCTCCTTTAATAACACTGGCAAAGTATTCATACTAAGGGATACACATTCTGAAGCTGTAACGGGTCCAGCTAGATCCTGTGTATCAACCAGTCTCAGATAGCTACAAACTATGTAGTACTTCTCCCAACATAAAAAGGAAAGCTTTAGGTAATGAAGGTTGTAGCCTGTTAGGAGTAATCAGAATGGAGCCTCAAGAGCCCCTAGGGACAGATTCTTCTGTTAAACAGGAAGAAAAAGTACTTTTTTATTATTGTCTTTATAGGGGGACATTTAACGCTTGGTATTTATAGCAACATTGGTCCAGGCAACCCCACATATTTCAAAGGAGTTAATGAGCTTGTGGGCCTGTGAATGGGTTCACATCTTACTGAGCATCTTTGGGAATACACCATTACCAGCACTGGGAAGTTGTCAATGGCCAGAAAGACAAATCAGTCTTGGGGACTTAGATGGAGAAACTTACATGTAGAAACAGTACCCGTAGTTAATGTAACAAAAAGCATGGCAGTTTTAACTGCCTTCTTAAGGGACCCAGAGGATTAGGACACTTGTTTTGGCTGCTGCTCAGACCCATCCAAGGGTGTCTTCAGATGGTGGACTAAAGAACTATAAGTGAGCTGAGGAGCCATGGGAGCCACGTCTCACTTTCAGAGCACAGGATGCACACAGCAAAAGGATGGAAGGTTGTGTAGTCTATATGTGAGAGAAACTGAGTTTAGCTGTTTGCAGAGAACCAGAGAGCTAGGTGAGGTCAATGAGGGTCTGGCACTAAAGTGAAGAAAACAGGAAATAAAACACCACAGGTGTCCTCACTCTTTAGTCACACACAACCCAGCTGAGGGCACACACAAGCTCCACATGCTGTCTAACAGGGTTATTCTATCTCTAGATTATCCACGAGAGGAAAACCTGACCTGCAGAATGACCCACAGGAAAGAGTTAGGCGTGCTTCTGTACATAGAGGCAGGCGTGCTTCTGCACATAGCATGCTCTGTCTCGGGAACTCTCCCACACATACCCATCAAGAGCAGTTGGATAACTATAGGAAAACAACTCCATCCTGCTGTGGTAGCTGGGGGCTGACCTGATTTATACATTGATGACTTGACAGGGGATGACTCTCAAGAGCCCAAGGAAGAGGTATCTCCTGGTCACCAGGCCTTAAAGCCTCTCAGACACACATCTGAAACACCCATGAGTGTGTGGCTGGCTTCACAGGGGCTACTGTCTCTCAGGGTGCTGAGAGAGTGAGCTTTTCTGGACCACACTTCTATTCCTGTCTCCATAACAGGCTAAGGGGCACCACACGGGAGACGGATGGTAAGGTCTCCCTCTTCTCAACCCACTCCCAATCTTTCTGCCATTTTAGTGTGCCATGAGTGCTACAGGACTGCTCTCTTAAGTACAGAAAGCAGCAGGTAAAAGAAGCATGGGATCCTTGCACGCATCAAACAAATAAACTGAATTGTGGGAGGTGGGCTCTGCCTATCCAGCATCACCAGCATTCAGCTCACTATCACCAGGGCACTGCTCATGGGGACAACAGCTTCTTTCCCAACAGACTGGAGGGAGTCCAGCCTTCATCATTCCTGAGGTCTGATTTCTCACATGTCCACTGGGTCATTCAGTGCTTGATTGTACCAGGAACACTGGATGTTCTACAAAGTGCTGAAGTGTGGAGGGGTGATGGGAGAAGAGAGGTACACAGCCAGAAGGGTGATGGCTATCACTGTAAAGAATCATCAGTAGCAATAAGGGCATGGTCTTATCTAAGACCACAGGTAGAAAACTAGTAGCTCTGAGGACTTGGAATTCAGCAAGCATGGTTCTGATGTTCTGGCAAATGAATAGAAAAGCAAATGCAGAGGCTATCTGATAGTCTTCCTGATAGACTTGTTTTGTTCATTCTATCTCTGGGATGCCTATGTGGAGTCTACAAATGCTGTCTGAACATAGAGGAGTCCTATCCTTCAGAGGAAGCTCTGGAGTCTGTCTGATTCAATACTGTGGTAATTAGGCATCAGCCAAAGTAAGCTGATGGCCAGACCTGCAGCAGAGGCCCCTCTCTCCTAACATTAATCTGTCTGTCCCAGGCAGACCTCAGTCCTTCTTGTCGTCCTTCTGCAGCTGACTTTTTGTGGTCCCTAGGTTTTTCCACACCTCTGTGTACATTAAGGTCCCGATGAAGACAAACAAAGTGCCCAGCCAGTGCCACAGAGTGAACTGGTTCCTGAAGTACAAGATGGAGAAGATGAGGCTCACAAACTTGCGCAGAGTTACAACCAGTGTGACAGTGAGGGAGCTGCACTCTGTTGTAAGGATGAACACACCCCGGATGCACACGTATCTGGAGGAGAGGTTAAGGGTGTTCTCTGAAAACTAGGTAGGAGCTTTAGGTTCGATTCCTGCCTTCAAGAAAACATGGTGATCCTGAGGATCCTCCTTCGCAGAACTTCCTGAAGGACTCTGGCCCTGCCATTTTGAAAAGCCCATTACTATGGACTGTTGTTCCAGTTTATAATGAAGGCAATGCCAAAGTGACACTAACCTTATTCTGTTTTGTCCTCTAGCCCTCAATTCTCTCCTTCAAAATGAAGCTCTGTATAGCAAATCTAATCAGTGATTTCAGAAGGAGGTGGCCAATGTCAATCTGTAGCGACTCCTATAATGGTAAGGTCCTTTTATTAATATAATTACTTTTAAATTAGTTCTAATTTAAAGTTTGTTTCAGAACTTTGTAACAACTTATAATAGTCATGAATAATAAATACTTCCTAGGATACCAGGAACCCTCAGTAGAAATCTCAGACCATTTCATCTCATGACATGACCAGCTCTGAACCAATGTGTGGAATTCTGTTTCTTCTGCCAACTTCCTTCCCTGACTGTCCGCACCATTATTACCTCTTTCCCTTCTACAAAGGGGCTTCAAGAGTGGGTCTAGCTATCTCAAGCTTACCACAGATGAAATCAAGGCAACACCCAAACTCACATCTCTTATGCTGTTAAAATAAACATTCCTCTGCCAAACAACATGGAGACACAAACAGAAGAGGACTCTAAAGGATACTGAGTCACAACATTCATGAGGAGGTAGAACCACATGATGGGCATAGCCACACCGATGCCGGGAACTTGATAGAGTTCTGCAGAAGTGAAAAGAGGGCACGGTCATGCCAGCATCAACAGCTAACCTTTCACCTTTTGAACAAGGTTATACAGGCAAAACAACAGGAACAATGTAGCATTATTTCCTTAAAAAACAGTTGGTGCATACTTCTCTTGATCCCAGTTTATGCTAACCACAGGAGTCAGATCTCTGTGGGGACTCTTAGGATCCTCACAAACTGTGGTATTTATAATGAGAGATGATGCTTTGTAATTCAGAACTCTGTGGACTCTCCTGCCTACTATCTACTTTTGTAACACATTTTTTTAGGCCAAATGACAGACACAACACTGCACATGCAGAACAGGCCCAACAAGGCACAAATGCATTTACTACCTGTGCTGTGTGCAACACAAAGCCTTGATTCAAAAGGCTTTTCTTATGTGTTCACTTATCTACGCAACACTTTCAGATGAGATTGGATATGTAGGGTCTTTCAAGGAGGCTTACCATCTACCATCAATTTAACAAGTAGTCACTCTAAAAAGCAACAGCTCTACTTCATATAGACATTTCACATTTAAAAAATTTTGTTTGTAATTAATTTATCTTGTTTATTTAATCTGTAGCTAGGAAACAAGCCCTGTCATTATTTTGCTCCATCTCGCTTGGTGCCAAGGCAGCCCAGATCTGTGAGCAGCTCTGCCTTTCCTGGCAGAGGAGAAACACAGAGACAGCGGGCTGTCACCCAACTCACAGGGCTCTAGTCCCAGCTCAGCACTGGGACTACTTGTTTGCATTCTCAACATATCTAACAGTTCATGTTCAAATGCAAACACATGATTCCACAAGAAAGAGAAGGTGTGAGGATATTCTTATTTCTGGAGACCAGGAAGGCACTTATAAAGGCTCTTGCTGCTGCACCCACTGATTAGCAACACCATCTGGACACCCAGACGTGCAAAGGTTTAGATGAGCATGAGATAAAGCTGTAGTGAGCCAAATGCAAATGTGAGGCTTTGCCTCAGAAACTGGCAGGTAACACTGCCATATGATCCCAGACTTACCAGACTTATTGAACAGAACAACGTGGTCATAAATATCAGAGGCCAAGAAGATGAAACCAGGAAGTGGAAGGGCGTGCTGTGGGAAGAAAGGGATCACATAAAGGTAAATGCAAAGCCATCACAGAACAGCTAGGGTAGCTTTACAATGGCTCAGGCTATCCAGTAAGCGAGAAAGCCCCTCTAAATGTGTAGTGCCTCCGTGCCCTTGACAACAAATGGCAATGCACTTTACGCAGTCTGATGGTCACCAAGGAGAAAGCCAGGCAAAGGAGTCGGTCCTTCCCTCAACAAAGGAAAAGGGGACTACAGCACACAATCACTTTACCCAAAAGGACTTGCCTCATACTGGATTTGAAAATTACAAGGCCCATACAGATCTCAAAGGCTTTAGTAAGTAGTATGAAAAGAGATTTGCATACAATCCGAGGACAAGGAAAAACAAATGATGGAAAGAAGCTAAAGAGGAAGAGGACATTCAGTGCCCTCCTCACTACAGCAGCACTGTAAGATCAAGTCAGCTGACTCTTACTGAGCTGTCACTATGCTTGGCATTGCCCTCAGTAAAAGACACAAACCGAATAAAATGCTTACCTTTTAAAAATCCCTAGCCAAAACTCTAGCTCCAAGTGAATGTGTCAAGCTGCCTTTCCGGATTAACTGAGCATGGAGGAGCTGTCTCACCTTGGCCTTGGGGCCGTTCTTTGGGTTATTTCAGCAATAAAGGAGGGAAGGAGGAGAGCTATAGGAGAGTGTCAGATGAGCCCTTACAATGAAGAAGCTCAGAGAAGTAAAGCTCAGGAAAGTCCCTCTAAGCAGCTCAGGCCCTGACTCCCCAGCCCCCAAGCTGCCCCACTCATGTCCACACTCCTGGCTGCTGCTTTGGGACTTTGCCTTCTCTAGCTTTCCGTATTGGTTTTAACAATTTTACCTACAGGAACTTTGTGGGCCTTGGTTCCTTGTCCCTTAAGTGTTTTAGCTGATCGATCATCCTCATCTCATATGGATAACTGTTACTCAAAGTGCACCTTATTCCCCTGCCTAAAGTTCTTCAGTATTCTGTCTAAAGGCTGGTTACTAATAAAAATACACCCCATCAATTACACTAAGATTTCATTCAGAATAACACATCATATATCAGAATTTTTCACCTTCCCAGAGTTTAAGAAGTTGCTTACATTATAAAATAATGCCTCCTTGGAGTGTTTCCCAAACTGTTTGTATAGAGTCTCTTGGAATATGCCCATCCTTGCTGACATCAGCAGAGCAAAGGTCAGGGCCCCGATACCTAAAAATAATGGTCAGGTTACAAGATGCCTTTTCACATATCTTCTTAAGGTAACAGTATTATAATTCTATAGCCATCATAAGCTACATGACATGCAAATTTTAAAACCACAATGCTACCATCTAGTCCTCTCTAGTTTCCCATTTCCACATCCTTCCACATATATCTCTGTAGACTAAGATAAGACTGTCTGCACTTGTTTATTCCTTGATTTTCTCATGAGGTTCTTTTGGACTCTTCCTTTATGTCCCTTATTAAATGTGTTTTCTACGTGAGATTTAGGTTCTGCACATCACTCCATCATGTGGATGTTCCATACCTAAATGTCTTACAATGAGACAAATTAGATTTCCAGTTATTTCTCTAAAATCAATACATACAAATATTTTAAATGTTAATTACTTCCTTAGGATAATTTTCATAAATGGAACTGCTGAGGCAAATATTAAAAAAAAAAACTTTAAGGCCTTTAAAAAACTCAATATATACTGTTTTTTGAGAAAGGCAATCAATTTATTCTGCTAGCAGCTTTTATGGAAATGCCTGTGTCACTGGACCCTCACGGCAGTGACAGTGTCATTTACCATCTTGCTGATATGGTAGTCAAAATGAAAAGTTATCATACTTGGGGTTTTTAACACCACATTATGAAGGTATAAAATTACTGAACATGAATTTTTCCCTATGAATTTTAAGTTTATAACTTGGAGAATTTTCCCATTGGATAATACATAATTTCCTAATAGTACAGAGATCTTTGCAGTGAAGAACAGCAAGTAAAGGGTTAAAGTCCAAAGCCCAGGTAAGGAGAACACACTCTTTCCTGTCACTTTTCCCACCCAATCAGTGTTAGTCTACTCCTGTTACTACCACAAACACTGGAGTTCCCCTCCAAACCATGTGAGGACAAGGCCCTATAGAGTTGTCTAATTAATTCCACATAGAGACACTTGTATTTTTAAAATTTCTCACAAGAGCTGATTTGGGAACACTGCCATATGGAGCAGTTAACTTAAAAAGAAAATAAGTCCAAGAGTTAGAAATGCGTCTCTGGGAAATTTAAAGTCAAGAGTTCTAATGTGCCCTTCTTCTGCGGCGGACCAGCCTACACAGTGCCCCTGAAGATAGTGAGAGACTTCTCTCTCTCTGCCAGGACTGCCATGGGAAACACGGACCCATGCAGAACACGGTGCCGCAAATGTGAATGCTTGCTCTTTTAATTTTTTGAACACTAAGGTTCAGAGACATATTGGTCCCAGGTGCTACTCTTCTCCTTGGCGTAATTAGTTTAGCCTAAACTTCTTGCCAAGAAACATGTCCCACAGGAGAAAACTCAGCAACCACAAGTGCAGAGGTAATTAGCTTTTTGTGAATACTGTACTTGCCTAGTAACCACCATGCAAATGCCTGGAATCCATCCTTCTCACTCAAGCCAGACTGGAAAGTCTAGGAAATAAGAAAATATACTAGGTACAGGGACCAAACATGCAAAACAAGCTGACACACAAGGGAATGTCCATGCTGTCCACTTTCTCCCGTTCTTCTCTAAGCTGAGTCCTTGTGATTACATGAGCACTCTGATTCCTTCCCATTATCAACAGGAGCCTGACGACGCAGCCCGATGACAAGTCAAGAGAAACGATTTCAAGCCGATTCTTACCACCTGCTTTGCTGACATAAAAGTGCAAATAAATATTCCAGCAGATACCAGGGCAATGGAGGTGTACTTGAACATACTGTATCTGAAAAATAAGGACAAGAACACCTTAGAAAAGGAGACAGCGTCTAACGGGATTTACCGCCGGGCAGTATGAGAGTCAAGTGCAAAGCTCTACAGTATTACTGAGGACCATTCTCCAGCAGTCGTTCAACAGTTCGTTGACCAGTAGACTGTTTTATCAGAAAATGAGAAAGAAAAGATACACAATAGATATCAGATGGCATGTGATATTGTATTCTGCTCTCCAGAAGCCAATGCAGCCTACTAGCCTTCACCAGTACCTTTCGCTTTTCCAGTCCTCGGAGCCCAGAACTGCAGCTTAGCCCATACACTGTTCACAAGGAATGAGAGATCATTGGATAAAAGAGTCAAAACTTGGGGAATAATACCTACTCTCCAGAGAAGGTATTTCTTTAAAAAACAATCTGAGTGACTTAAATGATTTTGTGAAATGTTGGCAGTGCTGGATAAAGAGAGGTATATAAAATCTGTAGAGGGCAGCATACTGGTGGCATTCCACATTAACTAAAACTCATCACTACAATCCCCCTCGGAGTCTTGCTATCAAGAAAAAGGATGAAAAGAAATTAAACTTGCAGAATGAATCATCATTTCTTTTCTACCCAAGTACATTGTATCTTTTGGTTACAATACCTCATCAAAGGCTGATCTGACTGATTAAGTAGCTGAGAGAGTGATGTAGAGGAGACCCACTACAGAGAAGTGGGGTGAGGAAGTGGAAAGGGGTCTATTTGGGAAGAGGAGGGCCCAGCAGGAGTGGGAGATAGACAGAGGGCACGGGGATGAACATTATCAAAATAAATTATATATATGTATGGAATTATCATAATGTATTTAGTTAATAAATACCAGTAAAACTATATCAATATATCAAAAGTTTAGTCTAGAAACATCAAGTTGAAACATTTTAAAAATTAAGCCAATGCAAAAAATACAGATATGGTATTTTAATTCTCCAAAGGGCTAAGTTCAAAAAAATAAGAAGATAAGTAAGGAACAGAGCTTGGTGGCAGGACATTTTCCTAGCATGGACAAGGTCTTGGGTTAAATCCTCAGCACCAGGGAGGGAAAGAATGAGGGAATGAGGACAGGCAGAGAGGGAAAGGGAGAATGAATAAATACAGGGAAGTTAGAGAAATTCCTGTTCTGTAGACAGTCAAAGGCTCAGACTCAAGATAATATATTCCAACTAAATTCTTAAGGGAAAAAAGTGCTGTGAAGAGAGCCTTCGGCAGTAAGGTTGTTATCAGGAGACTGCAATTCTTTTTATATATATTTTTATATCTTGTTATGAAGATATAAAAGCTTAGGAAGAAACACGGGTCTATTCCAAGGTGAATTCTAGCTATCAACAAGTATAGTCTTCATGTCAAAGCAAACACCTGGCCATGTAGCCTGTGTTTAAAGAAGAGAGGACTGGGAAGAACTCACATGCAGCAGCACTTACCTGGGGACTCCACGACCTCTGAAGCCAAAGGACACATGAAAACAAGCCTAGCAAGGTAGGACAATTGTCCTTGTTTTGATACAGCCCTTGTTACTTAAAAACTGTAAATTCTAGGTGAGTGTGGTAGTCCCACCTCTTGAGAGGCAAAGGCAGGTGGATCTCTGTGAGTTCAAGCCCAGCCTGTCAATATACCTAAATTCCATGCTAGCCAGGACTACAAAATGAAACTGTCTCAAAGAACATTTTCAAAAACAAAAACAAAACTTCTTTAGGTTCCTTCTCTGAATGGGTAGATTTTCCCTCAGCCTAAAGAGCACTCATACTGAGACTAGGAACTGGACAATTGAAAGCATGGCACCACTTGCACTATTTTGGTTTTAACAATGAAGGTGACCTTCCCCTAAGAAATCCTGTAGACTCTCTACTGTCCCTCTCTAAAGTCCTTTCTCCTTGACAGAGGGTGAGGCTCAAATGAGAGGTGGGTACGTTGAAAAAGCATACCAGGCTCTTTCTGCCATTTTCCACCCCCGTCCTAGACCAGACTTCGAGGGATAGTTACAAAAAATAACCCTGAGGCTTCTGTTTCATCTCTGTCTATCTGGGCCTTTACTGGAAATTCTCTTAGCATATAAACTTATTCTATAGTCCATTACACTGATGAGCACCTTATGTGTGGGGAACACGCATGTTTTAGGATTATCTGTAGCAAGTGTGAGGACCTGAGATCTAGCCCCAGGAATACCAAGAGCAAAAATAGAGTAAAAAACAAAGCACTTTCAAGGATGACCACCCACAAATCTGCCCTAATACTCCCTGGAAATGCTACATTTATGCATTCTCTAATATGGTTGCTACTTGCCACACACTCAGCATTTAAAATGCAACTAGTAAAAGTGAGAATCTTCTCACTTTTTATCTTACTTCATTTAGAAAATTTAAGTTCACATGTAGAGTCACATGTGGAGCCAAGGGTGGAGCTGATTTCTAGGCTGGGAAAGCACTGAAGGTCCAGTGGTAACTGGAGCTGTTGGTTGGCCCCACAGGAAGCCACAGGTGGAGCCTCTGACCTGGTCAGCTGCCTTTGCAAATCATTATCACCCATGATTCTTAGAGAAAGAACTCAGGACAAGGCTGATAGCAGTCCTATCACCACTGTGGGAAAAGGAAAGGCGACAGAGGTAGCCTAGAATATCACTTCATACATGAACCATGATGGTGTGCTGTTACCTTTTCTTCAAAATGATAATCCCTAGAATCATGTTGGCAATCAGAGAGCCCTGTAAAAGAAGACAAGGGTGATGGTTTTAGCGTATTATGGGAGAAAACATCATGATTCATGACAAGTAAGAAAACACAAGGGAAAACAAGGGATGAAGAATGACCAGTCACTAAGACACAAAGTAGAGGCCAAAAAAATCTGTCGTATAAAATAATGAAATCACTGCAAGATACAATGAAAATAAAAATGACCAATTCTTATTACTAAGTCATAACAAAAGCTCTGGCTAATAGGGCTAGATGGTACTTTAGACCTACCTCTGTCAAATTTACCATCTATCTAATTTATAAAACTTCTAGTGAGCTTCTCTCCCACCTCCATTCTTAATGAAAGAAGTCATGCAGGGATCTCCCTCTTCTCTAGAAAGGTGTTAATCAACCAACAAGAGTGTATTGGAAATGCTTTGTGTCAATGCTTTGAAGGTCCCCTCAATAACCATAATTATCTTATGTAAGTCCCTCTGGAAGTAGGACACTAACTCCCATGAAAAGCTCAAGCAACAAGATTCTGTCAATCCCATCACCATCCACTCTGCAGTCTGCTACAGCTCCGCCTACATGGCCCTTGACATCTTTCTGCTCGCCTGGGAAGACTCTTCTCATATTTATATACCAACTAGAGAGAGAGAGCTTCTGAGACATAAAGTAATGACGAAAATGGGTGGAACACTCAGAGAGGCGCTCCTCATCAACAACTGTCTGCCAGGTGTGGTGGAACAAGCCTGTGATCCCAGGACTCCGGAGGCTGAGGCAGGAGGATGGAGAGTTCCAAGCCAGCCTAAACTATAAAGCAAAACACGGCAATGCAGAGGGTGAGAACAAAAACAAAAACAAAACAAAACAAAACCAATAAGTATAAGCTCGAAAATCAGCCAGATGAAGGAAACAGAAAGTATATCTATTTCCCAGAGGATTTTTAATTTTATTTTTATTAGTCATATACTAGAGCTAAGATAAATAAAAGTAAACTTTCACTTTCTACTTCCCCAGGTCTCTCTTTCTGCTTTATATTGCAGATGAAAGCCATCCTTGTTCAAAGGCTCATGCAAATCTATCCTTATGCACTAGACTTTAATTTCTCTAAGACTTCCTGCTTCTGCTCCCTGCTCCATCTGTCCACTTCCCCATTCTGTTCTGAGGATCCCAGTGAACAGCAACACTTACTGATCTGAAGATCATGTGCAGGGGCATGGCGATGTTCAGATTCAGGGCATAGTTGTTTACCACGCTGACAGTGAAGAACATGGTCACCATGATGGCATAGTACCTACAGTGAGAGAACAGCATCACACAGATCCACCTTTTCAAGAAACTCAGATATAGGAGGAAATACATATACTTGGTTTAAAAGACATCTGGCTTACTTCCTTTCTATTAAGAGAGTACAGGGAACCATTGTCACATGAAATCAAATATGTAAGAATATATACAAATCCTTCACAAAGCCAGACTAGCATGGGGAAAGTCTCAAATATTAAATATGTTTAAGGGAACACTTGAATATCTTTCAAATGATTTAGAACTAAGCTTTTCAAATGTTGCCTAGCCCACAGCAAGAGAGTTTAAGTGAACGGATAATCCTTTTAAATATTTTAGTTCTTTGTAGATACTTTTCCTAGGCCTCTGGAAAATGACTACCTTAAATATGTTTTATATATATTTCTATAATAATTTTTTCTTAATTTTGAAAAAAAAATATAGACTCCAAAGATTTGCGAAGTAAAACTCATGTTCAGCCTAGCCACTGTAAAAATTATTCCATAGTCTGAGCTAGTACACTCTAAAACAATGAAGATATCCCTTGATTTATATAGATTTATACTTAAAATCAGAGTCTTTTTGTTTTTCCTTTTTATAAAACAAGGTCCTCTGTGTAGCCTTGAAGAGTCTAGAACTCACTCTCTAGACCACAGTGGTCTCTAACAGTGAGAGATCCTCCTGCCTCTGCCTCCTCAGTACTGGGATTAAAAAAAAATGCATCACCACACCCAGCCAGAGTATTCGTCATTTGAGAAGTCAATGGTCTTAAAATTATGATATGAATTAAATTAAAAAAAAAATCCCAGGGGTTAGAGATGTAGCTCAATTGGCAAGAATAACTTGCCTAGCGTGGACAAGGCCCAGGGTTGAATCCACAATGCCACAAAGAGTGGGCAAATAGAAAGGTCAGCAGTTCAAGGTCATCCTCAGTATCACACTAAGTCGGAGACCAACTAAAGAAAAAACTATGTAAAAAAAGTCCTGTAATCACGACTTAGAAAACAAAGGGATACATATAAATAAGTAACTGGATGCTACAGATAAGTAAATAGATGAAAAAAATTTATATTTGTATGTTTTCATCTTCATCTAGGAGATATTCGACATATCTCTCAAAATGGTTATATTAACATGTCATGTTTTTGCAGACCAAAAGGATTAAATATCAGCGAGTTCATAATTCACTCAAAAAATATTTTTTAAAACTTTAAATAAATGCCTCGACAATCTAGAGCAAAACAATGATTCTGTATTGTTCATAAAATATTCACCCTTAGGAACAGACTTGTCAACAGTTTTGTGTCCACATATCTGAAGAGTAAACCCAAAGCCCCACACTATCTTCTGTCCTGCTGCTGGTTAGCTATGGAGCTGGACAGACATCCCACTGGTACACATAGCCCAGGCTGCGTTAACAATCTAAGGAACTTGACAACTAACATAGAGATCAGTGCGACAGGCATACAAGACCACTAGTATTGGCTTCCTCACAACTTCCCAGTCACATCTGTTAAGTCACTTCTTGCCAAATGTCCTCACGATAAGATGCCCTCATGGTGAGATGCCATTGGGAAACAAAGTTTATCACGGTCTTTCAGGATAATTAATTTCATTCTTCCACATGGCTACTTACATGGTACAACCTAGACACTGTTTGTGGGGATGAAGGATCTAAGCAAAATTTTGACTATTGATTCACATACAGAAAATAAAATCATCACTTTAAGGGGACATGAATATGATAATATAATTAAGACAAGACCATGGAGGGCATAATGGCAACAAAAGGGACAGGGTGCAATAATCAAATGGTAGAGATAGGCTGGGCATGTTGGTGCATACCTTTAGCCCCAGCACTCAGGAGGCAGGGTTAGGTGGATCTCTGAGTTTGAGGACACATAGTCTACAATGTGAGCTTCAGACCAGCCAGGGTTACATAATGACAGGATCTTGTCTCACAAAAAAAAAAAAAAAAAAAGAGGCTGAACCAGGAGCACAGGCAGGAGGAGACAGGGAGGTTACATCAAAGGTGCTATTATACACACTATGGTGCCACTGTCAGAATAATGTTCTGTGGAATGTACACAATTTACTCTTGTTCATTCAAATGCTGATTTCTCTACCCCACTATCTAGTTTCAATCCGGACATGCATTGTGATGTTTATTCTAAGCATCACTTGTCTTAAGTTTGTGTAAACATGCCACCATTTGTTCTCTGTATTGTCAATAAAACAACCAGCCCCAATGCTGAGCAATGGAGAGAACAGGGTGGGACATCCTGGTCCGGAGGGGAGAAGGAAGCAAGTGGGAGGAGTGGGAGAGGGGAGATCGGCAGAAGAGGATTTCGAACCACGAGGAGAGATAAACCAGACCTAAGATATGACTAAAAGCAAGTATAATGGGTGAAATCTGAATGGTAGGAAACTTTTCGGGCTTGGAGGTTTAGGATGGAGTAACTATTGCCCAGCATTATGCTGTAGGTTATGCTCTAAATACCTCCTAGTCTCTGTGTGGTGATTTGGGTATAGAGCTAGTTTAGGAATAACCACTGCTTAACTAAAAGATAAATAAATAATAAATATTAATAACCCACAACATGCCACCAAATACCCTGATCCATGAAAGCAGATGAGGCAATGGGAGGATCCAAAAGGTTTAAAAAAAAAAAAAAAAGATGGTTGGATTTCCACTGTAATATAAATGCTGGCCTGCAGGAACAGAAAGTTTATTCAGAAACTAAACCCAATGGAAAGGAAATCAAAGTATTTAGAATTATATTAACAAAATTTTTGTTAATTATATTAACAAAAACTTAAGATACAACAGTAATAAAATTCAGCAAGCCATAAAGGAAGGTAGCAGAAGAACAGGATGAGCTTGAGTCCTTGGGAGACATTCACGTGGGAGTGTTACTCCAAAGAAACGGAGTGACACCACTCTAAACACTGCCAGGAGAACACTTCTACCTGGCCAACGCCTGAACAATCGTACTTGGCCCAATGAAGATACTTAGGGCAAACCTGGACTGACAGAGAGCGCTCTGGCATTAACAATTCTTTCTTAGCTTGTCAATCATTTCCTTTTAATTGAAGTGAAAGTCACACAACATAAAATTAACCATTTGTGAGCAAACAATTCGGTGTCATTCAATGATTTGCCATGCTGTATACTCATTGCTTCTTTACTTCCAAACGCTGGCTATTTTCAAGATGCTTGACAATAGCAGTCTTGGCATAATCAATAATTCTACTGACACAAAGGATGAACACGTAACTATTAGAAATTTGTGGTCACCCTAGTCATTCTGACCCTGTATTACACACATATGCAGTTATATCCATCACAGTTATTTAAAGGTTGTGGGGGAAATTTTTATTCTAAAAATAGGTTTCTAGAGTGTAACAATGTAATTCATAAAACTAATGATTCCACTGTTCCTCATAACTAAACTTGAGAAACATGCATTCATACTTTTGTGCAGGCACCACTTTATACTTCAAGAGGACTCAACAAGACTGCAATGTACAATACCTTATTGGGATAGCTGGTGGCTTCCTTCCCAAGTCAGCTTCAAAAAGGAAGCCTTCCACAGCAATAAATAAGAACTGTGCAAACGTCACAATGTTACCACATCCTGGATGTTTCCTGTACAGTGAATGACAGAGAGAAAAAAATGAGGCACAAACTCAGATAAAGGGCACTACAACCTGTTATATTTGTGGCATCAAAATAACAGAGTGGATAGATTTCTGCAGACCACTGTCCTTCCTCATCTTGGCTCTCATATCCCATGGATCACATACCTTGACACTGTGGGTCACAGGGAACACCAAACTCTATTCTGTCATGCCTCCCTAGGGTATCAGGCCCTGCATGAGAATTCTTATTACTAAATCATGAGATGGTGGGGGCTGGAGAGACAGCTCAGTGGTTAAGAGCACTGGCTGCTTTTCCAGAGGACCTGGGTTCAATTCCCGGTACCTACATGGCAGCTTACAACTGTCTGAAACTCTAGTTTCAGGAATCTGACACCCACATGCAGGCAAAACATCAATACACATGAAATGAAAATAAAATTTAAAAAATTAAACAGTGAAAACCAAACATGAGATGGTTTTCCTAGTAAGCTGCAGGAAGGTCCCAAACGGTCTCTAGTCAAGGACAAAAACATGCTGGAATTCTCCTGGGATGCTCATCTCTTTCTACGGCCAGGAACTACAGGATGGGTGATGACAGGGGTGTGACTTCACACTATCCCAAAGGAGCGGGATGGAGAGAGGCTTGCTGCTTTAATAGGGTACACATACATATCTGAATATAAATCGACATAATTGTCTATCTATGCAACGGTGATAAAGAAAAACTATCAAAAATGGGGCTGGGACAATAAGCCAAACATGACTGAGAAATACTGCTGCAGCAAACAGCAGTTCTCCACACCCCTTATCATGGTGCATTAGACAGTCAAGAGATATTCCTGAAGTTCTCAGACCCTCTTCAGCACTCTATGGAAGAGCCAGGAGTCTTCCATGGTGACTATTCGGAACACATGCCAAGTTATTCCTGACATCTCTCTTGAGGAACCCTGGGTAAGTCAATCATGTGAAATGTTGACAGTTTTTTTTGTACCACCCCCAATTCTGTTCTATCACTAAAGATGTCCTAAGTGAGCAAATTCTCCCAAATTCCCCACAAAGACTAATATTAAACAGATTCAGAGTCTGTCTTTCCATCTTAACTGAAGACACACACCTGACAGCACTGAACAAAGGCTTTTAAAGCAGTTATACATTAACTACTTATTAAAGCCGTCCATTTGCTACTGGTGCTATGAATACTAAACTCTAATACACAAATTTGCCAGGGGCCTCGAACATGCTAGGTATTCTTGTGAGAGGGCCTGGCTAAATAAGTCTGACCAAACCAACTTCATGATAGGCTTCATTTTCTTGCTAAGATAGAACAGGCCTAAGTTTTCCATTCCTCAGAAAAAAGAAACTTCAGTTGAAGGGGGAAAAAAAAACAAACACAGAAACTGGCTTGGCCAGGACAACTAGCCGAGGGAGATAAAGTTGCTTAGCTACTGGTCTGAGAAGCCCCTAAGCTGTAATCAGAGTCACAGAGTCTTCACAGGATGGGCCATGCCCTGATTGAAGTTACATTAGCCTCCACAGGAACCCACCAGTTTGGGCTAGTTTGAACCAGTTTCGAGGGTCCCCAACCCCTAAATCAAGCCCTAGCTAGCCCTAGCCATCATCAATGCACTTGCACCCTTGCTTTTGACCTGTGCCAATCACAATAAGGATGGCCTAACTGTCCCTGAAATTCCCCTAGTTGATCTTAAATAGAGCTTGCGTGCTCACCTGGGGGTAGCCATTCTGCCTGGATGGTGATCCCTGCATGCTGAATCATTGCAGAACAAATGCCTTTAATTTGTTTGTTTGTTTGTTTGCATGCTACTAGAATTTGGGGTCGTCGTTTCAGCATCTTTTAGATCCTAACACTAGTTAGGGTTACTATTGCTGTGATGAAACACCATGACCAAAGCAACTTGGAAGGAAAAGGTCTGTTCAGCTTATACCGCCACATCACTGTCATCGAAGCAAGGCATGGCAGGAACTCAAGCAGGGAAGAACCTGGAGGCAGGAGCTGATCCAGAAGCCATGGAGAGGTACTCCCCATGGCTTGCTCAGTCTGCTTCCTTATAGAACCCAGGACCACCAGCCCAGGGGTGGCCCTACCCACAACGGGCTGGCCCCTCCCCCACCAATCACTAAGAAAATGCTCACATGATTGACTCTCACATGATAGGCTTGCTTACAGTAAACCCAATCCTATGGAGGCATTTTCTCAGTTGAGGCTCCCTCCTTTCCAATGACTCTAGCTTGTGTCCAGTTAACATTAAAATAGCCAGCACAGCAGGCAAGTACTCTACTACTGAGCTATACCCCCAGTGCAAACCCTTAAACACACTCTTATGCACAGTGATAGACAAGGAATGCAGCATTCTGCCAGAGCTAGGCTTGCTAGCTGAACTAAACAATGCTGTATTTAGAGCTCTACCACCTAGGAAGGTTCCTTGAAACCTCCTGCTTTAGATACAGTTCAACAATTTGTCTTTCAGAGTTACTTAGTTCAAGCAACAAGGCTAAACTTTGTAGGAATCCATAAACAATTGTGTAAAACATCCACCTCATTCAGGAATCTAATTAAAACCAATACAAGAGAGCAGACTTTAACTCTAGATGGTTCCCAGCACAGTGCTAGTCAACTCTGTCCTGGCTGGTCTTCTGGAACCCAGGGTCAGGCTGGATGTAGCAGTGCATCCATGTAAGCCTAGCATTGTGGGCTGATTAAGAAGTATTTAGTACTACTGTCTCAAAATTACAAGAAAAAAGTAAGGGGGCTAGGCTAGAGATGCAATTTAGTGGCACTGCAGAATACTGCCCAGTGTGCAGGAAGCACTGAGCTCAATCTCCTATACTGTTGAAGGAAGGAAGGAAGGAAGGAAGGAAGGAAGGAAGGGAGGGAGGGAGGGAGGGAGGGAGGGAAAGAGGGAGGAAGAAACAAAAAAGCCCATGTCTCTGGAGAGGCTCACCCTCCCACAACTGATTTCACGACCCCGAGGTGTGGTAAAGGGATGCCTGCACTTCTGCATGCAGAGAATGTGTGCCTCGTGTGTTCACGGTGGCACAGGGCTGAGGATATTGCTCCATACTGTTTCCTACTGACATGCAAGAGCACCTTTGTCACTTACTGTGTGATATGGAAATTAATCAACTTCTAAATCCAATTGTCTTTAAAATAGGGACAACATGAGTGCTTTTCTCCATAGTTTATTGTTGTATAAATGAACAGGTCCCAGAAAAGTACATAACACAGTGTCTGCCACACACTGGAAAGGCAGTTAAAACCAGGATGATGACCTCTATACTGAGGGGTCTTCAACCTAACGATAGCTGTCTTTTCCCTGCTCTCTCTTTTCATGTGTGTGTCCATCTATGCACATGTATTTTGTGTGCATGTGTGCATATGATGTTCGTATGTGTGGGGGTGCACCTGTGTACACTGTACATGTGTAAGCCTGAAGTGCCAAGGCTGACGTCCAGAGCATCCTTAGTGGTTCTTCTGCCTCATTCACTGAGGCAGGATGTCTCAATCAAGGCCAGAACTCACAGAGATAGGCAGCCTGTTCTGGGATCACCTGTCTTTGCCTTCCCTGGCCAGAACTGCGGGCATTCTATGTGAGTTCTAGGAATCTGCTCCTCACTCTTGTACAACAAGCACTTTAACCACTGAGGGACCTCCTCCGCCCAATAGTTATCCTTTTAACAATGACAGTGCACACTTTTTTTCCTTTATAAAATGAAAACTATATATTGTTGCCATGAGAATTCAATAAGAAAACATGCATCAAGGGACAAGCAGCATGCTGGGGTGTCACTACTTCTCTGGATTTCCCTTCCATTTTCTACTAAAAGCCTGGGCCAAAGCTCTCATAGAGGAGTTACTGAGAAAGAGCTCCCAGTGGGTATGACTTGGATCTCTGCCCTCAAGAAAAAAAAAAAAAATTCCCCAGGAGCCAAACATAAACTACAGGCAGCAAAAACACAGCATCACTGTAACATGTTCAGAAGATGGACTGTGGACCCTGTCCCTTTCATCTGTGCACTCCCACTCTTGGGACAGAGTCTGGCCTTCACTCAAGCAAGTCAATGAGGGTGTGGAGGTCTCACTTTAAGCAAATGTGCTCTAGAACATTAACATTTGTAAAAAAGATTTTAAAAGTGTGAAAGATTTACAATGGTATCCTTTATACGATCTTTGCTATTTTCCCTTTATTTATCCACATTTCATCCCTAAAGACACAAAGGCTCCAAGGTACTGTGTTAGGTGGGACTTCATGGCAAATGAGTAGGGTTTGTATATCATTGACATCATTATCAGGCTTTAGATATACAACCATTACCACCATCTAATTTTAGGGTACCCTAAAAGAAGTCACACCAGGAATCACTTTTCTGGTCTCCCTTCCATCAGGTCCTCTGATAATTCTTTTCCACTTTTTGTCTTTCCAAGGATGTGTACGGCTGCCTATGTATTCCTATTATCCTATGATCAACACATCTTTAGGCTAATTCAGAAAGCATTTTAGGGCCACACTGCTGGCACAGCTCAGGAGAAAGTTTTTTAAAACTGGAGTAATTTGCTTTAAAGTTTCAAATAAAAATCTGAAATGTTTTCCATGAATCGTTCCTTCTTTTAAATGTTACTCCTTAAGACCGTATAACCATTAACTGCAGACAGTTTCTTTTACTTGGGATTTTCTTTGGCAAGAACCCAAATTTCAAACTTAAAAAAAAAAACAAAAAACAATAACCAAAAAAAGCAACTTTGAAGAGAAGGAATTAGGCAGACATTTACATCTCCTTTCTTTCTTTCCTGGACATAAAACTTTTATTTATCAACGTCATGTTCTTTATGAAAAATTTGAAGAAAAAGAATCTCTTTATCTCTGTGTATGTACATACAGCACATATACAAAACATACATATGTAACCACTTAAGTAGTGAAAAGCCACCCTACTTTGTATCTGTTTTACTTCCTGTGAAACAATGTAATCCTTGATCACAGGGTTGTTCAGATAGTCAACAGACAGTATATAGATTGAGAAACATGTAGTTAGTTATTACTGTACTGAAATATTATTGAACTGCCTAAAAAGGGAGGCCTGGAGAAGTTAAATAAGTGGAAAAGGCTGTATTGCCAGAGGATTAATGGAGACAAGCCTGAAATTACTAACTTGGGCTGTTTAATCCTGTTTTCCACTCCACCTCCTGTCTGCTAACTACTGCCTACTAAACTTTGCACATTATTACACAATATTATTTGTAAGACAACACCATAAAGCCAGCCCTGTTCCCTTTGGGAAAGTGTCATAGTCATTCTCAAGCTATACTTCAAAGTGCACACTTCTCAATTAAAGACTGCAACGTGCTAAAAGCTCGGGGACCACGACAGTTTAGTAGTTATCTACATCACTCACATGTGAGTTTGGGCAAAGCCCTCACAACCACCTCTAAGACCAATAAAAAAATGCTTTACAGAACATGTCAACACATACAAACGAAAATTTCTTTGCAACGTGTATAAAACAGGACTGATTTGCATGTGAGAAAGTTTTGCTCCAGACAGACACGTGTCATTCATTAACTGGTCAGAGAAAAGTGCTAGAGTTGGATGACAACTAGGGAGAGGGTGGCTTGGTGGAGGAACTGCCTCTGCCACCCGCTCCTTAGACCAGGCTAGGATCAGTCACAGTGAAAAAGTCTCCAGGCTTCAAACTCCCAAAAGTGTGGCATTGAGGTGACGACAGCAGCACCCTGGGTGTCCCTATCACACGGATGCTAAGGGATGGAGCAGTGCCCGGGCTGCAGAGTAGCTGGTTGCGCGGGTATCCCGTACAGTGGGGTAGGGAGGCGGCCAGGGCCAGCAGTCCCGGACCAGCCCCTGGAGCCCGGGCGCGGCCCCAGAGGGTCACTCACCGGGCCAGCAGCTCTAGGAAGATCACATTACTGCAGCAGCCTGTGAACACCAGGCCCACCGCGAAGGCCGGGCGCATGGCCGGTGCAGGGCACGGGGAGCCAGCGCGCAGAAGAAGTGTCCCTCCAGACCTCTACCCTAGAAAACCCGCACAGAACATCTTCACTGCTGCCTGTTCCCACCCCGAGCGCCCTTCTTGGTCCACTTTTCCTCCGCGTCTGCCTCGGACGCGGCCAGCCCAAGAGCTGTAGTTCTCAGTCATCCCCGGCCCCATTCATCTGAGGGGGCGTTCAAGGGCTGTTCAGACTACATATCCCAGCACACCGCACGCCTTTACGGAGGGAGTTGGGGGGGAACTATTCTCGAAATCTCGCGTGACCCAAAGCTGCGCGGCCTTCTGGGAAATGAAGTCCCAATTCTGTCAGCGTTCAGTTTAGGAGAGGTTGAAATGGGTTTCAACAAAGTAGCTGTGTGCTCTGGAATTACAGACCAATGACTACTCCTTAGCGTATTCTAGCGTCTGAAACAAATCTCCTGAAACTGAGTGAATGTATAAATTCCTGCAAAGTCTAAACCAACATCTAGGAAATAGTGAACCCAAAAGTTTTGAGGTTGAACCTTGAACTGGCTATTTAGGGCATCAGCTCAGCATCCCACTCACCATAGGGGAAGGTAGGCCTGTCTTACTAGTATAGAAAAGACCAGCACAGTAAGTGTATTGCTTTATGTTATGATTTTGTGGACGCATGTAGAAGAATTTTAATCCAGCAACATGGCTGTTCTGGCAAGGGATCGCATAAAAAAAAAAATTCTAGGTCTATAGGTGCTCTAGCTGGAATGCAGACATGCCCTTAGTACACACCTTTACTCCCAAGCAATGAAGAAAAACTAGTTTATAGAAAGAAGCAACCATGTTTGAAAGTGATGTCTAATTGAGAGGCAGACAAAGTGATGAATCAGAGAAATATTTGACAGAATGAGTCAGAGATAGAAGACACTGAATTCACATGAGAACAAGAAAGGAAAGAGCAGTTAAGGGAGAGGGAGAGAAAGAGAGACAGAGACAGAGACACAGATAGAGTGAGAGATTTTAACTGAGAGTTTTTTGTTTGTTTGTTTGTTTGTTTTTCTTTTTAACCAGGACAGTGTTACAGAGGCAGGTTGCAGAGAGAACAAGTGAGACACAGGTGAAGACAGAACAAGACAGAATGAGAATGAGAAGACTAAAACCTATTGCCAGATTTAGTTTGAGGCCAGGCAGTGCAGTCAGAAGCCAAGAGAACCCAGTTTGAATCAGTCTGCTTGGAGAGGAGTTTGGGCCAGTATAGCTAAGTTGAACCAGCCAGAGAGAGTTCAGAAAGACCTAGAAATGACTCTTACCTCATTCTCAGATGGGAATCATCCTCTGAGGAAATAAAAACAACATTTACAGAGGCACTAATCAAGTAGTATCCTGTGCTGGCATTTTGCCAGCTTAAGGTGCAGCTTAAGGCCTTTAACTGACAAAGGCCATTCTTTTCACCTCAGTTCTTGTTTCTGTTTTCCTTTTTAAGATGAACTTTCCCAGTTTTAGAATGCTACTAGCTGGGGTGCTTATTGAAAATACAGAGTTCAGGACCACACACAGGAAATCTGGAGCTTGTCAAAGTGACCAGCACCTAGATCCAGCACCCAGCAGGATTCTGGTCAGGTTTCTAGGTCACAAGCTGAGAAATCACTGGCAAGTATGTTGTGAATATTGAGGAAAATTCCAGATTGTTTATGTTTATCATCTCCTGATTTGCCTCCCATCCTGTGCTCTCACTTCTGAGGTAACTAGACACGAAAGTGGCACAGTTCTGAGCTGTAGAGCCTAAATAGCATAATAGAAAGTGGGAAGTAGGGCTGTAAATTAATCACATCTGTAAAAAGCCAGTCTTGCTAGGTGTATACATACTGTACAAGTAAAGAATACAAAAGTTCTGGCCTCTCGACATAGTGATCACCACACATTTTCTTTTATTGCTGCTGAACAAAAGTAAACACCAAGAGGCTCAGTAACAAGTATAATGAGACTTCAGCTGAAAGAAAACAGGAAGCGCTTCCTTTCACCACTTAAGTGCTGGTGTGAGGAGGTTTGTTGGCCTGCACATGTATCTGTGTGAAGTGTGTTCCTGGTGGCCTCAGAGGCTAGAAAAGGGCATCAGCTCTAGAACTGGAGTTGTGAGCCACCATGTGAGTACTAGGAATTGAACCACGGTCCCCTGAAAGAGGAGCCAGTGCGCCTAACTGGAGCCATCTCTCCAAATGGTGTGGACATTTTTGACTGAAGGGCTTGAACATTGTCATTCTCAAAGTTTCTCCAGGTGACTGACTCTGCAACAGAGGTTGAGAACTGTTGAAGAAGGAAAGGAGGTATTTAAAGGGCTGGGATTAGTGACATCAGTAAGTAATTTTAAATGCCATCTCAGCCTGCTTAAATCAAAATCTTTAGGGAGTGGGACCAGATATCAGCTGAAATTCCAAGGATGAAAAGCATTGTTTTACTTATCTCCCAGTTATCAAGCCTGGCTATATAATAGAGTTATGTGAGAGACTTTAAAATTTTATTGAACAACAACAATAACAAAAGCCCAGAAATATCAGACCCCCTCCCAACCAAACAAATAAGGAAGACATCTAAGTTTGATGTCTGTGCACCTCTGTAAATGATCCTGCCAAGAGAAAGGCTGAGCTTTGAACCTGTTTTCTGATTTGACTAGATTTCACATCAGACAAATCTTCACTTTCCATACTGCCCTCCACCAAGTTTGGGAGCACTTGAAGGATTTTCTAATCATCTCTTACTAAGATTCTGATAAAAATCAAAACAGGTTTAAGTTAATGAACAAAGAGGACATTTGACTGTCTGCATATGCTTTGAATCTTCCTCCATATTTCTTTCTTGTCCCAGTTTTTAGTAATTATATATTCATTCTCCATATTGATGCTCTTTTTCAAATGCTGATTCTCATTCTAAGGTGAAACTCAAGGTTCTGTTTCTAGCAAGCTTCTAGACAGCGCCAGGTCTCCTAGTCTGTGGCCCACACTCTGAAGAATATAACCTCTTCACTTGCTCACTCTGGGACTCCTCCTCCTCCCTCATTAGTTCAGAGATTTCAGGCCAACAAAACTATCTGTAAATTCCTTCCTCTCCTTAGCCTGCAATCCTGCTAAAGACCCAGTCAGCCAACCAACCAACCAACCACAACAGCAACAACAAAACCCAAAGCAAAAAAGGAAGAAAAATAAATCTGTTTTTCTTCTTCCTCATTTTAATGCCATATATTGTTAGATAGTTGTGTATATACTTAATCTACCTTAAACTATTTTTATTTTTTTTAGAATTTTATACATACTTACCCTCTTCTTCCCTCCCCCAACACTTCCTGTCATTCACCTGTTCCCCTTCCAACTTCATATACTCTTTTATGTAACCCATTGAATCAAATCAATGCAGTCTAAATTCCCATTGTTATAGAGCCATCCACTGGGCATGATCAACGTACCAGGGACCACACACCTAAAGAAAAAAATGACTCTCCTTCCCCCATCAGCCATCAACTGTTGGTTGCACCTCAGCTCCCCAGCTCATGCTGGAATGTTGACTGGTTTGATCTTGTGCCAGCCAGTCTCTTGCAGGGAATTATAGCTGCTATGGGTTCATGAGTGCAATTATCCTGTCTTGTCTAGAGGACAGGGTCTCTCCTCAGTCTTTCCCAACCTCTGGTTCCTACAATCTTTCTTCCCCTTCTTCCACAGTGTTCTCAGAGCTTTGGTAGGTATGGGCACAATATAAATGTCCCATTTTGGGCTAGCACAGACTTTTGGTAGTTTGACCAGTTATAAGTACATGGATTAGCTACTGTCACTTACTTTGCCTTCAATTAGCTTCTTAAACTGCTCAGTTCAAGCACAGATTAATGAAAGCCATTTCATGGGAGCCCTTCCACCACCAAGTCTCTGATTTGGTCTTTCGGTCGCTTCTGGCATTCTCTTGCTCCTGTTTCTAACGCCAAGACTCTGCTTTTCCTATTTCTCTTGTAAAAACTGAAAATTCCTCTGACTACTAAATTTTTCTTTTAAAATTCCATATCCATCACTTCCTCTTACTGACCATTGGTGATTGTGGCTTCTGCCATTTTATGTATGACTGTGACTGGGTGGGTGGGTATGTCTGGGGTTATTGCCACAATCTCTGTCATGCTCCAAATCAAAGTTGAGCTTTTCCCTAACAATTTCCCCATGAGCCCCTCAACATCAGTGCATACGTGATCTACCTACCTCACTGGCCTTTCTGTAAAGGGTGGTACCTATCACCTCTTCTCTTTTGGGAAAACTCTGAAAGAATTTCAGTCTTCCTCCCCTTCCTGCCACATTTTTTTCTCTTTCTTTGTTTCCTTCCTTCCTTCCTTCCTTCCTTCCTTCCTTCCTTCCTTCCTTCCTCCCTTCCTTCCACTAGGCTCCACCTCACAGTATCTATCGATCCCAGCCTACCACTGTCATCTGCTTCTCCTCATGGAAAGCCCTCTAACGTGTTGCTTCATTCTGTCTCTGTCTTCTTTAGCCCCAACTCCATGCTGCCTCCAGACTGTAATCCCCAAACAAACCCCCAAATCTTCATGCCAGGGCACTATTACAGGGTTCCTATTCTAGTTATCCAGTAACATGTAATGAACTACACCAAAATGCACTGGTTTGAAGTACAAAAATCAAGCAACCAATGAAATAAAAATATTTTTTTTTCCTCTTTTACAACTCTGTGCTAATCACACATGTCCTCTCATCATCCAGCTGGGCTGCTCTCTTTGGGGTTTCTCATACAGCTGCAGCCAGATATTGGCCACAACCAGCCAGATACGACTGCCCATGACCTGAATCGTGCTGTCTTGGCTAGGCTGATACAACTCTGTCTACAGTCTCCTCTCTATTGTTTCCCACAGTAAGTGAGCTCCTAAGAGACCACTGAAGACAGTGCATCACCTGCACGGCTCCCTAATTAGTGACAAGCAAGCAACCCAGGTTCATATGGGAGGGAACTCATAAAGGGGTCAAATTCTGAGACGGGGGGACATCTTCACAGACTAGCTATGGACTGTTCCTTGGCCTCCTGCTATAGAAAATCCACACTCAGTAGCCGACACACTGACATGTCACACTCCGCCTTCAGACTGCCTTTCTGGCTTCCTCTGTTTTTCTCCTTGGCGCTATGGGGACTTACCCAGAGTAAACATTCTGTTCTTTAAGTTCACAGTGACTTTCAAACCCTGTGTCTACATATGCACGCTG